CAGAGTGCAGGTTTATGTACCAAACCCACTCTGGTGTTACAAATGTCAGCATTCTGGACATGGTGCCAAGATCTACATTCTCAGTACAGTCTGTGTCTGCTGCAGTCGATCGCATGAGAGTACTAAATGCACAGATGCCATCAAATGTGCACATTGCAAGGGGAACCATTTGATCTCAGCTAAAATTTGTCCAGAATTTGTTCTTCAATAAAATATTAAAAATTTAACACAATATCTCTTTTCATGATGTTTAAAAAATTAGTTCTGTCACAATCTCCAAATACCTCAACGGAATCTAATCAGCAGCAATAACTGCCAGGCGCGTTGTCAAAGTTGCCACAGTATCACAGGATGCCGAACATCCATCTCTTGGGTTAGTGATCAGCAACCAGCTCAAACAACTTCAAATGATACTACAAAGCAACATCAGCTTCACAGACGGAGGTTGTACAATCATCGATCACAGCCTTTGAAATGAAACAGTATAACTAGAACAATCACCAATTCAAGGGGATTTGCATTTAACGAAAAAAGAAACTGGAATAAAACGGCCAGAACCCTCCAACGCTTGGAGGTGCCTTCTTCTCAGTCCACGTCTGTTCAGGTTCAAAACCAGAACTTTTGGCGATGGAGGTCACTCCATCACAAACAGGCTATGGGAGAAGACCTCTCTTCTGGTCAAGATCCCCAGTAGAACCACCATGAACTGGTCTTAACCTATAATACAGTGGACTAAAGAACAATTTTATTGATTCGCAGCTATTGACACACGATTTGAAGCCATCAGCCTTTTGTTTAGAGGAAGCATACTTAAAAAATACAGATCAACTCAACATAAGACAATATGGTTCGTATCATTTCTTTTCACCTAAGACAACTCGGGGTTCTTCAATCTTGGTGAGGCAGGGTGTTATTCATAGTCCTGCGCCTCTCAATACCCCTCAACAAGCTATCGCAGTACGAATCACCACATTCCTAGGTATAGGTATCCCTCTTGTTACATTCCTCCATCTTTTCAGCGAACCGATCTTCAAGCTCTCTTTGACCAGCTTCCTAAGCCATGTATGAAAGGATATGAACGGATATAATCCACTTTGGAGTAGTGATCATACAAACGGTAAAGGCAAGATCCTAGAAGATTTTATTTCCAACAATACTCCAGGCCTTTTTAATGATAATTCAAAAACATATTTACATCCTGGTACAGGCACATACTCTTCTCTTGATTTGTCTATTACCGATTCCAACCTGCTGAATGAATTTGAGTGGTCAGTCCACGACGTCCTCTGTGCATGTCACCACTTTCCAACCATTCTAAACCCCATTTCCCCATCTGATGTTCCTCCGTCATCTCGATGGAACTTTTCTAAAGCTGACTGGCCTCGATGTGACATTCTCTGTAGAGCCCAACTAAAACCTGGTCGCTTTACTGACGTTCCTGACAATGCTTTTCTGATGAACTAAACAACATAGCTGAAGAATGTGTTCCAAAGTCGTCTGCAATTCCCCACATACGTTAACCATGGGGGAATGTGTGAGGCTGATCAAGGTGTGCGGTAGGCCTCACCATCAGTTAAATTTCGCCACCATCTTCCACGGGACCTACGTCTGCTCGAAGGTGAGAATTTGCACGAATTTCCGAACTATAGATTTGCAAATTCAATACGAGTAAATGACAACACGTAGCAAGTTAAGATTTTACGCATGTTATAAACGAGGATGCTGCTTAAAATCATGTTTGAATTATGTATCATGGCAACATCGGTCACTTAGTTAGCAGATAAACAAATTAGACAGTGATCTTATTTCGGTTAGTGCAGATCGAAATCTACCATTATTTACATTGAAGTACAATCTGGTGGAAATTGCCGTCCTCTCTCTTAGATATTATTCATTTTGTTACGAATTTTTAGATATGATTTAAGTTGAATCACAAAATTCGCAGTAAGCCTATATCTATTAATATTGCAAATTACTCGAATATAATATTGCAAATTACTCTAGCAGTAATAATTCTTTAAACATAGAGATATCATCATTGGCAATGGTTTTCGTTCCGCAAAATCTTTCAATTTCATTCCCATTAACCCATGCTTTGAATATTTTAGCATTTCTATGATGAGACAGGGTCCATGCAGTAATAAATTACCTGATACTATTCTTGTGAAATGGATCATCCCTTCAAGGTTAGAAAGAAGATGAAAACACCGTGAGAAGGAAGTGAATTACTGAAATATTTTGACAGATTGAAATAAAAATATCTTATAAGTTAATATAAGAAAACTATTGGTTTAGAATTGTTTACAACAAAAGTTATTCACTGGTAGTGGAAGCTTACTGATCTTCATTTAAAATGAAATAATACAACTGTTAAAAACGATTTTAAGTCATCTTAATTAATTTACTGGACATGATAGCAAGATGTTTATGAACTCAGAGAAACATGGTCAAGTAATGATATAAATTTTAATCTCATCAAGTAATTAATAATTATTCCAACCTTTTATTTAATTGATGCCTTGTCAAAGTCAGATTATTGTGATTTAACAAACAAACGCTAAATGGTTCATGGTTAAAAACCTCCACCTGGTATAAAACTAAGCTTGTTGGCCCTTTCTATAGGAAATTATATAATTTCTTTTTGAATAATATATTCTTTAAAAAGAAAGAGTTTAAAGTGATTACCAATATCATAACGCATAAAACATATTTCAAGATACACAGAATTTGTAAAAACAAAGGCAAAATCTCTTTGTCACACCCGGATCAGGCATTATCCACAGTGCCTGACCAATTCAGATACAGAATGAATCATACAATTCTTAATATTTAACTGTGATAGTATTGAAATGTATGTAACCCAAAAAGTAATTATTAACAATGATGTGAGGAGATTGTCAATATTTGATAATTGAGCAAGAGCTATTATTTTTTAACAAAACCAATGTTTTAGGTATACTTTTTTATCCTCATTTGAATGTATTCCACATTAAGAACTTAAAGAATATATGTCTGAAGGCGCTTGATTTATTAAAGATGTCTCCAATGCCAAGTGGGTAGGAGGTCAGAAAACCAACCTTCAACTATACAGAACACTGATTCGCTCTAAACGTGATTATGGCACCATCGTTTATGGTGGAGCCTGTGAAAGTAATTTAACATTATTGGATATAATTCATCATCAAGGACTGAGGCTTTGCATTGGTGTTTCCAGAACTTCACCCATTAATAGTCTGTACGTGGAGGCTGATGAGCGATCCCTCAAACAACGCCTCAAAAAACGATTATGGTTTATGGTGGAGCCTGTGAAAGTAATTTAACATTATTGGATATAATTCATCATCAAGGACTGAGGCTTTGCATTGGTGTTTCCAGAACTTCACCCATTAATAGTCTGTACGTGGTGGCTGATGAGCGATCCCTCAAACAACGCCTCAAAAAACGATTACAATACATCACAAATCAATCTAATCCAGCTTACGAGTGCGCTTTTAATCCTCTTTGTGAGGACCTGTAAAAAAATCACTTATTCCATTCTTTGGAATACGAATATCTCCTACCCAAATCCCGTCATCTCCTCCGTGGCAACCGGTAAAGTCACAGGTAGATCTTTCATTAACGAAGCAAAAGAAATCAGACACAAATCAACGAATTTACCACAAAGCTGGCTAAATTGCGTACCATCACCAGCAGCTGAAGGGATGGTGTCAATCCTGCTGGGGAACCGTAAAGGTAGCAGAAGCATCGTAAGTTCCCACGGTCCCTTGTATGGTATTGTTTGGCTGCTGGCGATCTATAGCCCGCTTTTTACAATGTATTATTATGTAAAGTGATGTATTTTACCCTACGTTGATAGGATCTGTCCACGTTGTAATACCTCTGTCGGTGACGAGTTTCATTACTTGTTTGAGTGTACACATTCAGAAACTGATCGTCAGCGCTATATCAATATTATATATTAGTACTGTAAGTACTATTATGTCAATCCCAATTATCATAAACTTCATCAACTATATATTTACTACTCCTATAGTCTCAGTGTTTTGTCAGCACATTTGTCTCCTGTATACTTAAAAACATTTAGTGTATATTCTCATACTTATAATCATGCGAATATCCTCTGTAATAAAATGACTTTCTTGCATGCATGTCCTAGTACCACTTTGAGTGGTTAGTTATGGAATAAACTATGTCTATGTCTATGTGAAGGTAGCAGAAGTATCGTAAGTCCCCCACGGACCATAGTATGGTGGCCTAAGTTTGGCTGCTGGCGATCTATAGCCTGTTTTCATAATGTATTATTATTTAAGTGATGTATTTTAATGGTTCCATGCTAGTTTTCCATCAATCTGTGATAAGTCTATTTATTGTACCGTCCATTGTTGACAGACATTCGAGTATTTATTATGTATAACTTTTGAAAGTCACGATATGGCTGAAATACTGCCGATGTGACTATATTTTTAAACTCACTCTATTTGCTAATCGTGGGATAGTAAAACGTATTAATATTTATTGATGCGAGATAACTGTATCCTTGACTTGTGATTACAAGTGTGTGTCGAGGGTAGTTGAAACTCGTATGAAACTCAGTTGAACAGTAAATACCCAAACGAGTCCAGCCATCGCAGCATATGTAATACGACAGTAAGTTTATTAGACAATGGCGTCTTCATCAGGTAGGTATAGTGTGATCACTTGATGGTCAACCAAGAGACGACAGTTACTCAATGTGGACATCACAACAAACGATATGGATATGCATGGAATGACGGCACTTTATTCAAGGATTTAATAACCTTTATGAGCTGCGCCCCCTTAAATCAGCTTATCAAGCAAAACACAGACATCTTTCTCGGGAGTAGAGGTCCTATTAAATTCCGCAACTGCACCATAAAACGCTTCTTTGAGCATTGAGTTTGTAGCACTAACATAAAAAAAGGGCTCTCTCTGCGACGGATAGCACTATCAAGACGCTGGTCCTAATATAACTCGTGAGGTCAACAAATATCTGATGTTTGGTGGGGATCGTCATCAGATGCTGTGCTCTCGTATGTCCTTAACTCTCCTATCAACAGTTCTCTCAGTTTGTCTTGTTGCTGTCCGTTCGGGTGGTGGTCACTGGTGCGGGACGGGATCCAGTAGTCAGCTGATGGGGAACACCGGGGTATCAGACTCGGCAGCATGGCGGACGGAGCGTGGAACCAGGGTAGGGTGTTGGGGAAGGAGAGAGGCTGGATGACATGGGTGTATGGATGTTTACTGATCGTCTGCTTGGTGGTATAGGGTCCACGTCGCGACTTGGTACGTCCCCGGCGAGTACGACGATTCTGGAACCACACCTAGAGATATCAAAGCAATGAACGTTAGCTTTATTCAGTGTTAAAACAACAAAATCTTCTTCAGTGTAAATAAACTGAATTGAGTTATGCATGTTCTCTCCTTATTTGGTCTAAACAAGTACAAATTAAAGCATCCGTACGCACCTGTATGTTCGACTCGGGGACACCGAACTCTTGTGAAAGAATCTCTCGGATGTCTAGGTCTGGGTATGGATTCTTTTCAAAGATCGCCTCCATCTTATCAAGCGCAAGTTGGCTGTACAAAGTTCGTCGTCTTTCTGGGACCGTCCGGCATCTTGCAGAACTGGATCGTGGTAGTAACTCTGAATGAATAGGTATATAATAGAAATGCATTAGGATTAAGTTACATCAGTTTGTTGTACCCATATGTTTTACGATTTATAACTAATATCAAGTGATGCAATGAATTGAACGTGATGAATAATCAATGAACTGAGGACTATTTTACTCAATTTACTATCCGTGAATACTCACCTTTCTGCAAACCAAGAATCGTTCTGATCGAGTGGTCGGAGTATGCTTTAGCCATCTTTGATAACGGGAACGCTGGAGGAACGAGTGATGTTGAGTCGTGAGATACACTCACATCTTTTATATTCTGCTCGAGTCGACCGGTGTTGATTGAGTCCAGTCAATCAGATCATTTGAAGTTTGGCTTACAGGCGATTAAGAAAGATTCTCGTCTTCAAAGAGATTAAACGTTACCGGTTGAATATGACGAACGCGCGCGTACAAATAGGCTTGTTGTCGGTTTGCTTTTGAGATTAGTTTAAATGAGGAAGCCGTGATAAGTACGAATTCGTAGAATAGCGTCTTCTTTAATTCCTGTGATAGATGTTATTTGTCTGTAATCTGTGAGCTTCTTTGTTGATGAAGAGATTAACAAGTACATGCCCATCAACTGAAACAACGCTCACATATGTGGTTATTGTCAATTGTCGACAGTCAACGAAACCATTCTCAACGTGGATTAACGCTGAAGGTATTACTTGCGTTTTACTTGTTCAGCATGAATATTGCAATCTCTCTTCTGTTTTCATTTTAATATGTCCAATAAAAAATAGTAAAATATATGACTCTTTGATAACGGAAGATTGTATGTATACAAACACACTGCTTATCACCTTAAGTGGCATTGTCACGAGTGTAAATATCAATTTTACCTACGTCACAGGAATAGATAAAGATCGCATTGGATAAACAACAACAAATAAATAAACAAACCGACCCAAACATAGCTAAAACTACCACACTAGCATACATACACGAAAATTGGCCAAATTGGTGTCACATTTACACGGACGGATCCTCAGATCCGACCTCCAAACACAAAGGTTTCGGAGTCCATACCACACAACCAACTAAAACCACACAATCCTTCCGACTCCCAAACAACCAATCGATATTCACGGCAGAACTAATGGGCATGGCCTCAGCCCTCCATAATCAAGAATCCGAAAACCACAAAAAAAATCCTAATACTTACCGACTCCCTAAGTGGACTGCAAGCCCTCCAAAACAAAAATACCAAACACCGACCTAAATTAATAAATCAAATACTTAAAAGCTCCAACGACCTAACTATGGCAGGCAAACAAATAACCTTCTTGTGGATATCCGCCCACGTAGGAATATACGGTAATGAAAACGCCGATAAAGCAGCTAAACTATCCCTCAAAATCCCAGAAATAAGCTTAAACTTACCCATCTCAAAATCAGAAATTAAAAGCGTAAACAAGCAAAAAATCACCAAAAATGGCATAACCTATATCTAAACTCAAATAGCCAAATCAAAAAAGTGCTCAGCAAACCACTAACCAAACCAAAAATTCTCCATCCATCAAAAAAAATCGACAGAGTAATCACTAAACTCCAAACAGGACACACCAACCTAAATAACCACCTAAAAGAAAAGAAAAAAACATACTTCAGGTGACTGCCCACACTGCAAACAACTAGAAACCCCAGAACACGCACTCATCCACTGCACACACTACCTAACACATCGAACCGCATTACAAACCGCCCTCAATCTAAACAAGGCTCTCACTCTAGAAGCAATACTAAACCCACAAAATAAACTAGAAAACTTCAAGGCCTTAGGCGTATTCTTAATAAAAACGGAACTAATAAAACGCATCTAAAAACACAATTACCTACCAAATCAAAATCACATAAACAAACAAACATCCACCATACCCAGCTCCCTTAGTTCTCCTCCCCAATCCCATCGGCATCTATTCCAAGTCTCAAAATTCCAAAATTCTATATAAGCAACCCCTTAAGCCCCCTCTTGGGTTGCACAGACCACTTTCGCCCCTTTCGGAAACACATTAAATGGCCTGGCCGGGCCCGTGTCGGAAATACGCATCAGTCGGAAAGCGCACGTTAAATCTCCAAAGTAAGTAACAACAACACATGTCTACAGATTCCGAGCGTAGCAGTCCTTGTTTAAGCACCTTTATGCCGAGCACCAGGAAGGTTAACAAGAAGTACCATCTTTTGAAGCTTTTTGGAATGACGCGGACAGGGATCGAACGTGGACCTTCTGCTCTCCGGGCGGACGTTTACCGTTAGACCACTGTGGCGGCCACCAAGTCTAAAAGACACGCTTTCATATTCTTTTCTATCGACAATACAATACATATATTTCATCGTTCGATGTGAAACACGATTTACTTTGCAGTTATTCAGTTCTTTCTTCGGAGCAATACACGGTTTGCCTTGTGCATCCTTTAAACCTCTTCGAGCCTTCAAAAATATTGTCGATACTGCTGCAATATATCAGACAGACAGATTTTTATTTAAGTCTCACCTCATAAATGTACATTATAAAATACAGCATCTTATTAAAATTTAAGCCACTCCACATAGAGTTATGAGAGGCTATATATACTATTTACACATATATACAGATATATATTAAAAAAGTATATAAGCAACGTGTTTAACGATAAAATTTCTTTTCTTTTCTTTAAAATATAAAAGCAGGTTTTGGCCGCAACATAGCAAACATCATGGCTGGACAGTATAAAACATAACTTTTCAATATCAGGTAAAATATCAAAATTTGGACAAGTGTTAAAACATAGATCAAGTAACTGGGACCTCTCAACATTGTATAAAAGACATTTAAGTAAAACATGGCATTTATCTTCTAAAATATTCTGACATGAAAAACAATATCTCTCATTTAAAACTGTGCAATCGTATCGTCCCGTCTCAATCCTTACAGGGGCTGTTCCACTTCAAAAATTAGCAATTGCTCGTCTATACGAACGAGGCATAAAATTACTTACATAAAACTCACAGTTTGGAAGATACTTAAAATTACAATACATTCTTAATTTGTTTCCTCCTATACCATTTACACTTTGTGGCTGACACACATCCTCACTCCACTTTGTACGAAATATATCCTACTTTTTACTCTTGACAGATGCAACTACATATTTGGCACAATAATTATTGGCGATTTTAGCAAAATGATTTAGGCCAAGATCGGATAGCTTTTTTATTACTCTAAAAACCCAATTTCTTTTATTAAAAAGTGCTTTGTTATAGAAGAAAAAAAGAAGAAGACAGAGAAGAAAATTGTTTTATTAGAGTGTCACATGTTGCATTACTAAATATACAGATGAGTTGCAGCAGACTTGCTGTTCTGTCTCCGGTCGCGCATGCGCATCGTGCGTGCGGCAAAAGACCACGGAAGTGAACCGCGCTGTCAAGGTCAGAGCTGTCAAACTTCGCGCTGCCGTATTTACGTTCCGTGTTTACATATTTATCATGAGTACCTACTACAAACATCTTTGTGCAGTAGACAAGCTTCGTTACGAAGAAAAACTTAATTTACTTGGATTTTCGCTAGATTGGGAACCATATATCATTAATAAGTACTGGATTGACGACGTTTCCCAGTGGCCAAACTTGCAGTATGGCGTACTGTACACGTATCTAATAGATTCGCCTGGTCCTTTTACCAGAAAGAGTTTGCGATGTTTTCGTTCACTAGAGGCCTATACTTGGTTTGAAAGTGGATGGGTTCATACGTGTCTCATCAGGTACAACTCTTCACAGACCAAGTGCATAATTAAGGTAAGTCATCAATGTTAATATTTTTATCTGAACATGCTTTATATTAGGCCTATCTTTACGGTCGTGGCATATAATTCTATGCGGCGCCATAGTATGTGTTTTCCATGGTCAGTGTACTCTTAATCCATAGTCTGTGTGTAAACAAAAATAAGATCTTATTTAGAAACCACTGAATATCAAATATTATAATCAACCAATCGCATGAATGTCTGTGACAGCAACATATAATTTTTTAAATGTTGATTGATTTTTCAGGCCAAGGTTCACAGATCCCAAGCTGTGACAGAGAAGCCCCATGAAGCATGGGTTGGTCTGGATAAGAGCGGCAGGGTGGAGTGTGCACACTGTACATGCATGGCAGGGTATTAGATTTATTTATTTAATAAATATTTCTGTAAATAGGTTTTCTTTCAAATATGATCATCTGTTGTGGTAAATAAATCCCATTGTACTCAATTCATATATTTCAGAAAAAAATTGTAAATTAATTGTTCAAAGTTTAGTTAAATGTTTGTTCAAATTCAGATTGGGTGAAGTCTGTTCACATGTTGCTGGTATCCTATTTAAAGTGGAGGCCTGTGTACGATTTGAGTACAACACAGTTTCCTGTACGTCCATGCCCTGTTCCTGGAATCAGACATTCACAAAGAAGGTAACATGCAAAATATGAAAATTGAAAGAACAATATATTGGTGTTGATTTTAAACCACAGTATGCCCCATATTCCTTTGTAACGTTTTAAACAAATTGGTAATGGAGGTTGAGAACTATTTCATTGTTGAATTACATTACTGACTTAGTCTAATAAAAATAATAGTGTTGGTTCTCAGGCACCGCCCGCATTTTCATAAAGTTCGCTGTATGTTTCGTGTTTATTTCAAATTTTTTATTTAAGAAATCCAACTGTATTCCAGTATTTTACTCATCAAGGAATACAATTATGTAGGGAGGCCCCTTTCCCAGGTTGATTGTACACAATTGTTTTATTGATTACACAACTGTTTATTGGTCATATACTAGTTTGTACAAAAAACAAACAAAAAAGACACCGCCCACCCGCACTATATTTTCAAAAACCATTGCCTGAGAGCCAATTCTTTTATTTTTTTAAGCCTTATATAACATAATTTAGAATATTTGCAAGTGTGTGTTGGTGGTTTAAATATCAGGCTGATTTGTATTTTTCCTCAAGACAGACAAGTTTGAAAACATGTCAGTATTTTAAAACTATGTAATGTGATTTTTTAACTTAAATGTGAAATTCCTTTCAGCAACTGTATGTGAATATTTCTTTCAGGTTGAACAAGCTATGGTGGCAGACATAAACTTCTCAAAAGTCAAGAAGGTGCACTTAGCACCACCTCTGGCCCAGAGACAACCAGTTAAATTTGCAGATAGTTCTAGTCTTTTAGTAAAGTTGAGAAAAAGTGTACCCTCCGCAGCCATATTTACTATTACTAACCCTGTTATTACTGACTGGTCCCAAGAAGAACATGCCCAACTTCCTTCTCCACTATCACTTTTATTTGATGAGAAATATAAACATTTGACTGAGGCAGAGTTGAAATGTCTTGTGGAGGTTAAGTGTCTCTTTAAATACAGAGACCAGCATCCTTGTGAAATTTGTGATAATCAGTTCTATCTAAAACCTCATGTAAAATATGATCCTGTTTGTATAAACTCGCTTCAAACTAGCCACAATTATTATTATCAGGTGCAAGACCAGTTACATGTCTGTGATATGAATTATTGTGACTTTGTTGTCTGGTCCAGAAAGGGTATCCATATTGAACGTGTCATAAAAAACACTACATTTTGGAACTCACTGAAAGTGAAATTAGATTTCTACTTTTTGAGAATTGTTTTACCTGAACTACTGACTAGAGCACATGACCATAAGATGAACCATGCTCACCCAGTATCCAGACAAAGGCGTCGCTGCATAAAGTATGAATAATACAATGCAATGTATGTACATCAATGCTTGTGGTAAGAGGCTACAAACGGGATCGGGTGGTCAGGCCCGCTGATTTGTTCGAACTGTGTTATCATATCCCAATTGTGTGGATCGATGCTCATGGTGTCAATCACTGGATTGTCTGGTCCAGACTCAATTATTTACAGACAGCTGTCATATAGCTAAAATATTACTGATTGCAGAGTTAAACAACAAACAAACAAATGTACATAAATGCATTTTTAATGTTACTGTCCATTTATAGTACCCTACAAAGCCAAAGTACACTAAATTAAATCTCAAAGTCCATCAATTAATTTTTTTCCCATTTGCCTACATCATGTTCAGTTGTTCATGAACTTATTGTTACACATCACACATCAATAATTATGTTTGGAAGCACTTAAGTTGTAGCACTTGTGTGGAAAGAGTGATATGCAGCAAATATAAACACCTCATTTCTTAGTTTGTTTATATGTGATATATAATAATTATAATAATATGCTATTTATATTGCACATGTTTCCAGCCCACTCAGGGGCATGCTCAAAGCGCTATTACCCTGGTCACTGGGTCAATGTGCACTCAAGAATCATTCTAAGCTCCCTGGGGAGTACTGTAAACAGCTTTATTCTTCGCCGTTAAAATATTCCGAATACCACACCAAAGACAATACTGCGACGAGATATTTTTGCGAGTTGATGTGTTGATAAATGATAATTGATTTCTGTGAGGTAACAGTGACACTAATTTGTCTGTTGACACTGTCATTTGTGATGTATTGTGTGACAATTCTGCATTCATTTGTGTTTTTAACTTATAGAGGAACTTGTGGTGTTGGTTGAAGATTTCAACGTTTGATGACGTGTTGCAATTAAAAAAGTATGTATGTATTATTTATACTTATTTTTGCGTTTTTAATTTTTGTGATTGAGTCTTGTTAACAACCACGTTGTCATCTCATCCTACCGGGTAACCATTCACTGCTAGGTGAAGAGAGGCACATTTCAAACAAAGACACTTGCCCAAGGAGACGCCACACGTGTTACATGTGCTTCAATTTGTATATAATTCACCTGTCATGATAAATGAAATATTAAGAGAAAAAGCTGAATATATCTGTACATTAATAAATGTTGATAACATCAACAGTTCCTTTTTTTGTATCAAAAAGTGTTTACTATGTACCGGTAGTTTAACATCTACTTGTTCAAAATTAACTTAGCAGAACAAGGATATAGAACATAGCAGTAGTACTAGGATCAATTAAGTTTATCATGTCAACTGAAATTGATCTACTACTCAGCACAACTTCATAACCAATACTTAGGTTATATACATGTATACTATGTAGACCACTATTCTAGTATTGGAGGACACAGGTTCACAAGAGCTGCGCATACTTGAACCATCTTTCCAACAGTGGTCTCTGCTGAAGTGTTCGCTTTCTTGACAAGAGTGATAGGGAGAGGACCTTTCATCACACCCCAGTCTTTCAAACGGTTAATCACTCGCTCTACATGTATCCGCACATTGGAATATACTCTGGATGTTTCAACTTCTTGTCTTGACAGCTGGTTCTTGCCTTTTGAGTACGCTGGTACCATAAGCTGTGCCCCTTGAGTTGCTAATTCAGTGTCGATGAAAAAGCCCCTGTCAGCCAGAACATCACCTGTAGAAATGTATACCACTTCTAGTTATATAATAATTACTGCCTACATTTATACATGCACAAATACACATCATATTTTCAAAATGTACTATGCCAAGAATGTAATCAAAATATATTTAAGATTCCTTGGAACATTTGCACTAATTATTTTATGAAATCTCAGTAAAAATGTCTCTAGCTAAAACTATCTATATGCAACCCTGATTCAACGCTTCATTGATAAAATATCAATTTCCTCGCGAATAAAACTATATCAGGAAATAAAGCATATATACAAATTATTTTACAAATACCATTGTTTCATGTGTACCTGGCACAAACTTGTCAATGATGCCACTTGTAAGAGTTATAATCTTGTCACTGGCTCGTCCACCCCATACAGGGGACAGAAAGATGATGGCTCCTGATGGACTGATACCAATAAGGAACTTCACTGTGTTGTGCTGCTTGTACCTTGAGTAAGTCTGGGATCTGGCTTTGTTGTTACTGGCTCTCTCTATGAAGATTTCTGTACAGTCAATGATGCATCTTACTCTTCTGAAAATCTTGTTGCGGAAACACTTGGGTAGGTGCATTTCAATAGTATCAGGCCACATCACTAGTCTTCCAAGGTGGATGTACAGTACATCAAGCCATGCGTGAAAGATCCTCGTAGCCGATGACTTAGATATACCAAACCTGTATGCCAAGTCCTGCATGCATAAATTCTTCCTCAATTTCATCAGAGTTAGGAGGAGTTCATCCTCATCAGAAAGCTTGTTCTTCTTCCTATTGACATGATGAGAAGTCTCGCTGCAAATGTCCATAAATACACTAACATTCTGTAGACCTGTATAAAATGACAACTGTTTGTCATTAGTTTTTTTAATGTTCTTCATGCAGCATACTCTGGTTTTTTCCACTTTAAGCTCTGATACAGTTTTCTTCAATTTACATATGTCAACTTGTAAGGACTGAACTAGGGTCTGTGTGAGGTCAACTTGCTTGCTTTTCCAATGTGCTGATGTACTTCTCCTGGACACGGTTGGTCATCTCAAGATGCAAGGCATATTCTTTCCAGGAAAGCAGGTCTTCCATCTCGCGGTTCTGTATGTTAGTCTGCGATGATGCAGGATAGCAAGATCGAGCTGTCATCATTGGATCAGTCTGGACACTCACACTGACAGGGCTGTTATCATCATCAATCTGCAGAAACAATATAAGTCTTTACAACTTAGCACAGACATGCTTTGTAATTATGCATATTATCAAACTCTTTTGTGATACACATACTGTCTTTTACAATCAAATATTTGTTGACAAAAACAACATAATTTACAATTGTATTTTTTGAACATAATATGTGTATTTTTAATTTAAACAGTACAAAATTATCTTCAACATGTTCAAGAAAACAAGTAACTGTGAGAAGATCAGGGTTCACTCTAGGAATTTTCTGACATGGGCCCTTATGTGAAAATGTCAAATAACCAGAGGTACAACCACACTGGCCCGTACAGCACAATGTTAAAATGTCCCATTATATTTGAAAATGTGTTGTTTTTTTCAAATTTAGGAGCTAAAAGCACAAGGCCCTACCCTGGAAGATTACTCTAGTATGTAAAGTATAATTTTACTTACACTAAACTAAAAGGCATATGGTATTCCATGAAAGTAATACATCAGTGAGAACTTACACTAGCAATAGACAGAAGAGCTGATGCAGCTACACTGCGCTGAACGTTCTCTTGCCTCTCTTTCAAACGGTTCTGCCTGTTTATTCTCTGTTTTGTGGTAGCAGCATTCTCTGTTTTGAAGGAAAACAGACTTGGCACATAGTCCGCATCATTTGGATCCTTTGAGGGACGACCTTTGCAAGTAAAAGAAAATGCACAATTTATAAGAAAGTCTTAAGACAAACGTACAATTAATTCTAAAATACCAGGTAGATCAATATAAAAATCCATTTAGATTATCCAACCTTGATCTATTAGGCAACCAAAAACAGTAGGTCATTGTTGTTAGTGTTAATAAAAGAATTGATTAAATGTAATTAAAGCTGCGTCATAACAAACATAAGTTAACTACAATTATACATAATGTTCTTCAGTTCCTAACACTCTACCGTAGCCACGGGCCCAGCTAGCAAAGATGTTTATGAGATACCAACTTTGGAGTTACTTCCCTTCCCGTCAGTTTGAACGCCAATGTGTCATATGATCTAGGTCATGACAAAATAAATTTTGTGACAAGACCTTCATTTTATGAAAATATCTACCTTTTAGATGATGAAAAGAATGTACCATCAAGTCAAAAGATAAAAAATATATATATTGCCATACCTTTCTGAAAATGCTCGTTGCAAATGCGGGAATATTCGGTTGGTGTCCAGTCTTTGCGGCGAATGGCAAAAATCCATTTCTTACGAACATCTTCCTCTTTCGGAATTCGAAAGAATTTATGGTGATTTTCCCCACCCCCACGATTACTGCAGCCGATAGCGCAGCAACTGGCAGGCATTTGGTACGGAGAAATGATACAATAGAATTGCTGGAGTGACGTTGATTTGTGGCGGAAAAAACGTAGGGCACTTCCGTGTGTTTTTGCCGCAGAGCGAAGTACGCATGCTCGGAAGTTCCTGTTCTGCGCGTGGGTTACTATGGTTAAAGCTGAGTCATTGCAGATCTGCAACTCATCTATAGACATATACAAAAAACATTTTTTAAAAAAAGCACCCGGCCAGTTGGCCTACGAGACACTAATTACATAATGGTACATTTAAAATATAAAAGAGAAAAAAAAACAGAAAAAGAAAAAAAAGAAAAATTAGTTATAACTTTGTCATAGCCCCATACAAATATTTTTGATGTTATCCGATCAGGGTCTATATTACACAAACGTCTATGAAATCTGACAACACTCCACCATTGCATAATAAATGTTGGTGTCCAGCCCATATCACCAATTACAGCATTATTTGGTGCAAATTTACGTAAACCTAAAAAGAAGCGCATAGCTCTATTTTGTACCGCATTTACACATGAAAACTCATACACACCCCATATACATGACCCATAATCTAGGGTAGACCACACCATTGTGTTATACAACTTTGAAAAACAGAGTGACGCCCCTTTGCTATTGACACGAAGTAAACAAGTAGGGTTGATTTTTCTTTGAAAAGTACACAAAGCAACAAAGCAAAGCAGGTATGAGGGTAGATATCATCACCTGGAGAGTAAATATAGGAACTTTTTCGAGACGAAAACCAAGCGTAAAGTTCAGAATTAACACATTGTGTGTGTCGTTGTCAGTGGCCACGCTTTTCGTGATAGCCATGTTGACTGTGACTGTGTGTGGGGACGTTGAGACGAACCCAGGTCCTGAAACCCCAGCAGGTAGTGTTAAATATACAGTAAAAGAACTCAGTGAAATAGTTAATTCACTTCAGGCGGAGATAAAGACTTACTTCAAGTCTCGAAACGAAGACTAATGACTTAGGGAGAAAAACTGATGATCTAGAGAATAGATCAAGGAGAGAGAATATTGTGGTGTACGGGATTCCTGAGAAGGATGGGAATGAAAGAGGGACCTGGGCAGATTGTGAGACCGCTGTGAGAAAGGTTCTGGTGGATAAGCTAGACATGGATGAAGCAGAAAGTGATGAAGGGGTGGGGATAGAGAGAGCCCACAGAGTTGGGAAGAAGAGAGATGGAGGGAAGCCTAGACCTATAGTTGTCAAGCTCACAAGGGGAAAGACTTGTGGAAAAACTTAGAAAGAGTCCTGTGAAAATCAGTGAGGATTACAGTTATGTGGTAAGAGAAAAAAAGGAAGAATTTGATTCCTCACATGATAAAAGCCAGGAATGATGGAAAAGAAGCTTACCTGCGGTTTGATAAGCTGGTTATCGATGGGAAGTCATATGACTTTAACCACAAAACCAGTACATTGACTGAGTTTAGATAGTCACTAAAAGACTACCCAGAGACTGAAACTGATACTGATGCTTCATCTGCTAAAGATATATTCTCTATCTTCACATAGAACTGCCAATCTCGTAAACGCCATCTACAGGATAAACTATTGGAACATATACTGTCACAACACTCAGTGGTAGGATTATGTGAGACATGGTTGTATTCTGTACATGACTACAGTACATTTCTCTCAGACACACATCAACTATTTGCTACATGCAGAGACAGGCTGAAGCATGGAGGAGTTGGTGTGTATGTTGATAAGCGTTTGTGTTGTACAAGAATACTGTCAAATATTCAAGATGCTGTCTACTTACTGTTTGACAAGAAAGTCTTTGGCTATACCAGAGATGTAGTAATAGGAGTGCTATATGTTTCACCAGAATACTCACAGTAGTATGTAGGAAAAGATATTGAGAGTTTAGATACATTAGATGAATGTCTTCATGATATTAAAACGTGTTATGATGCTGACATTATACTTACAGGTGACTTCAACTCTAGAACAGGTATCAGTGATGATTGTATTATTGATGACAGTGCCGACTATCTTCCAGGTGGTGAGTGGTATGATAGTGACGATTTACACACCAAGAGAAACAACAGAGACTTAGAGGTCAATAACTTTGGTAGACGTCTTTTGAATATATGTATATCACACTCTTTGCATATAGCCAATGGTAGATTTCAGGGTGATGCCCTCTGTGATTTTACATGTGTTTCAAGAAATGGGCAAAGTGTTGTAGATTATTTGATTGTTAGTTCATCTTTATTTCCAGTGATAAATGCTTTCATGATTAGTAACTTGGATGATTCAGATAAGCTATCAATCAATTAAAAAACTGTAAGTCGCCAGGAAATTTCTGAATTTTTCAAAGCATCAAGTGATTTAATAGTACCATACATGTACCTAACAACCTTGTTTAACATTTTATTTAAAAATGGTTCGTTTCCCGAGTCGTGGTGTACTGGTGTTATCATACCTCTGCATAAGAAGGGAGATTACTCAAACCCCAATAACTACCGTGGTATCTCCTTGCTCAGCACTTTTTGTAAACTTTAATGTATCTGTACTTAATTCAAGACTTACGTTCTGGTCTGATGCGTATGATAAAATTTGTGACTCTCAAGCTGGTTTTAGGAAAGGTTATAGTACTATTGATAATATATTTATTCTGCAGTCTGTAATCAAGCATTATCTGTTTAAGAAGCGTGGTAAATTATATGTTCTTTTTGTTGACTTTAAAAAGGCTTTCGATTTTGTAAATAGATCTAAACTATGGCTAGTTCTTAAATCCAGAGGTGTGTCCCCAAAAATGTTAAATGCATTAGAATCCATCTATTCCTGTGTTAAAAGCTGTGTTAAGATCAGAAATTGTTTCACAGAATGTTTTGATTGCCCTCTAGGACTTCGGCAAGGCTGCGTAATGAGTCCATTTTTATTTTCTATTTTTATAAACGACCTAGCTTTGTATATAGAATCAACATGCACTCCAGGTGTACAGCTACACACTGACACTGCACAGATTTTTCTATTGTTGTTTGATGTTGCATTTATTGCTGATACTGTGTATGGCCTTCAAAAACGCATAAAAGCTCTCGAAAGTTTTTGTAGTAACTATCATCTAACAGTCAACTTGGATAAAGGTAGTGGTATTTAAAAATGGGGGTATTTTATCAAAATATGAAAAGTGGTATTACGAGGGTCAAAAACTTCAGTGTGTAAGTTCTTATAAATATCTCGGTACCGTTCTTTCAAAAACTCTCTCCTGGTCTTTGCATGTTAACAGTGCTGCTTTACAAGCTAAAAAGGTCCTATTTGGTGTCATTAAATCTCTAAAAATGCTTTAACCTCTTCCTTATGACTTGTTTTTCTAAAAAATGTATTCTAAAATATCTCCATTTCTTTTATACGGTGCCGAGATTTGGGTTGTAGATACTTACAAGGAATTAGAGCAAATCATGGTACTAGCATGTAAACGCTTTCTTGGGGTTAAACAATCTTCATCAAATCATGTGGTTAGGGGGGAATGCGGAAGGTATCCTATGTACATATGTGCTTATAAGCGTATAGTTACTTATTAGTTCAGAATTTTACATTTGCCTGAAAATAGATTAGTTAAGAAATGTTATAGATTATTAGTACTTGATGTTTATAATGGTAAGATCAACTGGGTCTCTAAAGTCAAACACATTCTCTATTCGTTTGGTTTTGGCTACATAGGGGAGATGCAATTTAGTAATAAAAGTAGAAGTCTTATTTCAGAATTTGTAAACCGTTTAAAAGCCTCATCTGAGCAAGATTGGCATGCAGCGGTTTCATCTAGCACTAAATCCCAAAGTTACTCTCTTTACAAAATTTCTTTTGGCTTAGAAAGCTATATCAGTGAAGTAAATGTTTCAAAATTCAGAGCTGCACTTGCTCAGTTGAGATGCTCCTCCCATCGGCTGCGAATTGAGAGCGGTCGATATATTAAGGAAATTAGAGAACAGAGACTGTGTTTGATTTGTAACCAGAATTTTATTGAGGACAAATATCATTTGGTGCTAATATGCAATGCTTATAGTGATGAATAGAGCTGAATATATTCCTCCTAAATATTTTACAACCCCTTCTAAAAATAAATTTAATGCTCTTATGTCACCCACTAACTTTAAAATCATACGAAATCTAGCAGTCTACGTTTACAAAGCTTTTCGACTTCGTTCATTGCATACAGTCTTAATATTTATTTGTATATATGCATGTGTATGTGTATGAATGCGTATGGATATGGATATACATGTAAAATAGTGGTAATTCTTTTTTCTCCCTCTCTCTGTAAAAAAGGTCTGTGTAATAGGCCTACGGCCTAACACTTTTTGTGAATAAACAATATATATAAATAAATCAGTAATCTTATCAGAAATAAAACAACGTATCATCGACGTAGATATTCAACAATGGCAAGCAGACATTACAGGCAACTATGGAATAGATGTAATTGAAAACGAATATCATTTTTTACTTGTCTTCAAAGCCTTCTCTCAACTCCGTGAATCTTATATTCAACCTATTTATTATAAACATCCTTCTGTTACAACATTTGTAAAGCTAATCAATTCCAAATGCCCCCAAACACTGTTAAATTTAAGTAAATACATATTTTTCGCTTTTAAACTGTATCCTACACTTCATCAATAATTGCTTGTTGTTATGTATATATATTGTTTTAATCCTCTCATGTATATTGTAACTATCTATTTTGTTTTAATATTGACAATGTATGTAATGTGGGCCAGTGGCCTTTTTTATTTGAATAAACACACACAATTTGTAAAAGTATGATAATTCATTCCACCAAGAAGTTTAAAGTTCATAATAAGCAAACCAAGAGCTCTACCAGCAGACGCAGCTGCAGCTTTAGCCAGACGTTTATAATCTAAATTCTCAGTAAGTAGCAAACCAAGATAATTATAACTCTCCACAATTTCCATGACATCATCACCACACTTAAAGATACATGTACACGTAGCTGTAGATGGAGGTCGAAAGTGTATGACCTTTGACTTTGAAACATTGACGGTCATCTTGTTACTTTCACACCACATATGTAAAACATTTAACATTACATTTAAATCATTTTCATTCTCGGTTTAAAGGACGACATCATCAGCATAGGCTAAAATACGGATATTGTTATCATCGACATTCACCCCAATTGACAAATTACTAATGGTAACTAACAGGTCTGTCAAGGCTATCATAAGCTTTACGGAAGTCAATGAAGGCAGTGTACGTTGATTTTCGTTGGGATTTACGGGTTTCTATTATGGATGTAAGACTAGATACGTGTTCTACAGTTGACCGGCCTTTTCTAAATCCATTTTGTGAATTATGTAGTAGATCACTGTCTTCCACATGTTTCGTCAATCTTCGATTGAGAATACCACAGTAAAGTTTACACACACAACTAGTGAGAGTGATGCCTCGATAAGCCTGTGGGTCTCTCGGGTCACCCCCTGATTTGGGAACAGGGGAGATAATTCCTTTACTCCAGCTAGATGGTAGGATTCCAGTTTTAAAACACCTATTTAAAAGTTTATGGAGGAAAAGTACACAATTATTACTTCTGAGCACTTCAGTTGGGATCTCATCTGGACCAGGTGATTTACCATTTTACGATTTGCTGATGGTTAATTTTACTTCATCCAAGGAGATGGGCGCATTTAGCTCATCGTGTTCGTCTTCGTTAAT